GAGAGAGAGAGAGAGAGAGAGAGAGAGAGAGAGAGAGAGAGAGAGAGAGAGAGAGAGAGAGAGAGAGAGAGAGAGTTTTCCATCGATAGGATGAAGAACGCACTGGCCTACAGGTAAGTAGTGCATATTTCGATGTTCTAGCGGAAGATTCATTCGACGCTCATCCTGTCGATGGAAGTAGCGTGAGGCCAGTCGCGGGGTTGGAGACTTACCATTGGCCGGTGCGTTGCTCAACCCATCGATGGAAATCTCTCTCTCTCTCTCTCTCTCTCTCTCTCTCTCTCTGTGTGTGTGTGTGTGTGTGTGTGTGTGTGTGTGTGTGTGTGTGTGTGGGTCGTGCTAGGGGGAGGAGTTTGTGTGAGCGGGAGAAGGGGGCCACGAAGGAGGACGAGGAGGTTGTGAGGTCGCACAAGGGGGAGGAGTTGAGAGAGAGAGAGAGAGAGAGAGAGAGAGAGAGAGAGAGAGAGAGAGTCTCCATTTTTTTAGTCTCCTGACTCTCCTTTTTTTTTGGGTGGGGGGGTTAATTTGCCAAATACCCCCATAAGTTCAGAATCTTGAGATATATGTCAAAATGTCCCAAAAAGATATGGGCACAGTGGAATGGCCTTCTGGGCTGACATGTTTGTCTTATGCCCCTGTCAGGCGGGTGTGCAAATTGACTTTGCCTTATGGCTGCAGTGTTTCGCAAAATGTTTCTGTCATCTTCCTAGGGTCCACTTGTTCTTGTAAAGATAAATGGTTTGATTGTGTATTTGCAAGAGCTACCGGCCGGACCACCCGGGCTGTCTCTGTTTGGCCCGGACTGGCTGGCCAGGTTCCGGTTAACGTCTCAGGCAGCCCCAGGGAAAAAAAAAAAAGAAAAGAAAAAAAGAATCGGAAAAACAAAAAGCTAGATTGTCTCACACCCCTCCCTTTCAGGTGCTTCAACTCCGTTTATATGCCATAGACTCCGTTTGGTGAGACATCGCCAATTGAAAGATAAGGCCAGATTTGGGCGCACCTCACTGGGCACTAAAGTTCACCACGTCACTTCAAGAAGAAAATGAAAAGGATGCCTGTTTACTGTTGCCCTCATACCCTGGGCAGGTTCTTCCCCCCCCGGAGCATATTAACCCAGATCGCCTGGCTGGGCGGGGCAGGCCGAGCGGCTCTTGTAGCCTAGGTGTTTTCCTGCTTGCTTTGTATTTGAAGAGCCATTGACTATGTCCAACTTTCATTATATTATTTTCTTAAAGGTCAATGGTTCCATTGAATCCATTCTGTATTCGGTGACCCCCCCAGCCCCCCCCCCCCCCACCCCCACCACCACCACCCCCAACACACACACACGCACACACACGCCCTTAAAGGGCAATGGTTCCATTCTGTATTCGGTGTTTTTTTCCGCCATCTGAAACACACACTGACTTCTTGTGTATTATGGATGTAACTTGAGTTCACTCCAGCTCACACATTGTGGTGAGTCTTGGATTTGCTAGCTACACATCTCTTGTTTTGCCATCTTGAGTCAACCTGCATTTCATTCTTTCTTGTTCCTCGTGCTCCTTTGTCTTGCCATCATTTCTTGTATTTACGTTTTCTTCTGTGAATGTGTTTGCTCTGTCTGTGGGCCTCAAAAAAGATAAAGTGGTTGCAAATTTGGATCTTAAATCACGTTTCTTACTGTTTCTACCATGGGCCATCTCTTGATGCCTCTTTCTCGTATGATGAATGTCCAACTGTTGCATCCCTAACCTCGGTTTTTACCTGTGATTCCGTGAAGGCCTCCAATTGCCCATCCTCACAGCTGTGGGATCTCTCGAAGTGAATAGATAAGTGGCAATCAATGGGCGTAAACCAGGACATTATAGAGCTGCCTATGGACCACTTCGGGGTCGCTAACACCGGTTTGAAAGCGTTGGAACTGGTATATATGGATACAGAATGGAGAAGAGGAAGTCCCATGAGATTCAACCAGCGAAAACAAATAAATGAAATGAGGGCAAAAAGAATCAGTAGGCTAGAGTGGTGAGGTGATTGATATAAGTAACTGTGATGACAGTAAACAAGTGACACATAAACAATTCCACATGGGTGGAGTTGTCGGCGTTGTGAAAAAGGACCCCAGCAGGCGACTGGAAGTGTCTGGCTAGTTGTCTGGAGACGTAGGATGACCAGTGCTGCACTTCCAAACACAACTTTTGGCATGGCACAGTGTTGTGTGGTGGTCCTGTGTGAATGCTGTTCCTCATCCCCTCCATTTCCCTCCCCTTCTCTTTCTTTCCTACCCCTTCTCATTCGGCGTATCTGTCGTTTTTCTCCCCTGCTTCTCCTTGCGTTGGCAGTAAGCACCCTGCTGGAGTTCCGTAATATATACTGTGATCTGCCTGATTGGGTGAATACATCAAACCCTTGTGTGGGCAACTGGACTGGGATTACATGCAGCGCCGTTGCTGGGGATCTTGAGATCACCGAGATGTGAGTACGAGGTTAGACTCATATCCTATTTTTTCTAGGCTTAGTAACTTGCAGTTCTAGTTTTCATAGGAGATGGAATTGCATGTGTTTATGCATTGAACAAGATCTGAATTTTTATTCGTTTTGAATGATGCATCTGTGCAAATCGTGCAGAGGGTTCTTTTTCAATGACACGTTTGTGGTAGCTTTGTCCACATTCCCTCTTCCCTCGGCATTAGCGCAGCTTGGTCAATCGCAGCTCCGACAGTTCTATGACCAAGAGAGCAAATCTGAAAATTGTCCGCTCGCTCCCCAGCTACTACTCCGTGGTGGTCTGCCCTTCCTCTTTTTGAATGCATCTAACCAACTTAGTCGTGTAGGTACATTTTTGAGGCTGTTGGGCTGAACTCGCCTGCATGAGCCTACTGTGTATCGAGCAATGAGCTCCAAACGGTGTATTTTAGCAATTCATCGGTATGCCAACTGTGCTAGGCCCGTTGGTACCACAACCAGCCCCGGAGGGACTGACCGGTCCCAGACAGTCCAGAATTGGTGTTTCACTCATCTGCGGCCAGTGGAGGCCAAACTCAAATCTGTATTTCAACAGTCCATGCGGTTATCAACTGGGCTAGGCCTGTTGGTCAGAGTGTCAGTCCCTAAACCGGCGCCGGTACCGGGCGGGCCCCAAAAACGGGACGCTGAATAAATAAATAAAAACAGAAATAATGAAAGAAGGATTTTTGGACTTACTGAGGGGGAGTGAGGCCGTCGGCACCTCCTCGGTTCCGCCGATCGGGCCTGTGGCCGGGACCGGCAGGCAAAACCAAGGGGGATAGCCTCGCCAGGCCCTCAACCCCCTTGGTCCTTGGCACACCGCTCCTTCGCTCCCTTGTCGCCGGTTGCTGGCCTTGATCCCCCTGCCGCATGAAAGAAGGTACACCAATTGATACTCAAATTTATCAACATTAAGTGGGCCTACGAAAGCATCCCAAGGCCACAAATTGGCCTGCTGACCAAATCCACGGCCGCCAAGCCCCGACTTTCGCCGCACGAAGGTTTGGTTCGGTTCATGGCCACCATGTGCACCACCCGTCACGCCAACGTCGCACCTTTACCATTTCAGTGGCGAAGAATCAAATTATATCTAGGAAAAACTCCGTTCATGCATGCCTTCATCGAGGCTGAAGAGGATTTTTTATCGATGGCCAATCACAACTGGCGTTTTATTGCACTACGTACAACGCGGTGTGTGTGAGTACTGTGACTGCTCTTTGTTAAGGTTCTTAATGCAGGCATAGCCCGCACCGTCCGCACCATGGGCTCTAAGCTGGTGAACACTAAGAGGGGAAGTCAGTATTGATGCCACAAATGACCCCGCAATAGAGTATTGTGATGGCCATCGACGTGGGAGATCTGTGTTAAGTGTGTCTTCCAGTGACTCTGTGCATGAGAGATCGTCGTCAATTTCATGTCCTTGAGGGATGTTTGCATTGAGGCAGTCGTTAGGTGGGGGGAGGTGTTAAGTTTGCATGCCCACATTCTTTTCCTTCTTTCTAAACGCTCTGCTCAATATCGAAAGAGGAAAGATTTGAAGGGTCGAGGAGGGAGGTGGACAGAAGAAAACTGCCAGCAGAAATTGTCAACCATTTGTCCACAATGCATGTTGAAAGAGCAATCGAGAAAACTTACACGTCATTGGAGATGATGAGATGAGAGTAATGTCATCTAGAACAATGCCGAGCCGTGTTGTTGTTGAACAGGCCACGTGCTTGACATGTGACTTGGAATGTATGGTACTATGGTGTATGTAACTGAAACGAGTAAAAGTCGGATGGCGTTTTCGGATGATTTTCTGCACCTAGGGAGCCGAGGGAATTTGGCAGCATTCACAGATTCAATGAATTGCCTGTGTGTGGATGAATCGTCCGCATGATAAGTGCATGGAATGGTTTCTTTGTGGCCCCCATTTTTTGGTGCTTTGTCATATATGTAGTTGTCTCATGTCTTTCTATAGCAGTCGTGTCTTCGAGCAGAGTGCGCCATGTGCCATTTTAGCATAGCCAAGTAGTGAGCAGTGTTCTCTGGAGGCAGAGGAAGCACATCAATGCTGTTGGGTCCAGGTTAGAGGAACCCCCCTGATGTCTTTTGCATGTACAGGCAAAGCAGAGACTGCGGGATAATGTTTAGAAATATTGAAGTTCAGGAGCATCTTCATAGACCTGGATTTTGTTTGGACGGTTGGTTGTTTTCACAACCGTCGCTCTATCATACCCCTCCAAACCACCAGTCCCACCAAGCCAAGGCTATTTTAGTATTTTGTCAAGTGACTCAAGTCTAATAGTAAAAATAGAGAATGTGGTGTAGTGGGGCGTGGTGCTCGATCTCATCTTTGGTCGTGAATGTCTGTTATCTGCTATGGTGTTTTGTTTCAGAAATTTGAGAAACAGAAGCTGTTATGGGACCATTCCCAGATCTCTTCAGAACATCAGAACCCTGACATCATTGTAAGTTTATCACTGTAAGTTTATTAAACACTGAATGCACTTCTGGGAAATGATGTTTGGATATCAACCTTAATGCTCCCCTGCTTCTGTGTGCTTGGAAGTGCGTTGTAGATTGTCACAAGAACAACCCCTTTCCACCCAGATGCGTCGATAAAAAATTGAAACCATCCTTACCTTATAATCTTGTATCATGTTATATTTGATATGTATCTATCTATATAACTTATGAAAGCATTGAGCACGTCTTGTTTGACACTCCCACGAGAACCACAGGAACACTGTGCAGTCATTGATGTTGGGCCCCAGGGCCATGCTGATCTTCTTTTTGTGGTTTTCAGCTTTTCGTGTTTCTTTTTTTTTTTGGCGGAACAGATTGTTTTGAGCTGGTCTCATGTGACACTCCCATGAGATCCAGAGGAACGTTTGGGGGCATGAAACAGTGTGGGGCAATTGAAGTTGGGCCAATGGCCGCATGGATTTTCCTTTTGTCGTTTTTGGGCCTTTCAATTTTGTCATTTTTTTCCTGTGGGTGCCCTTGTCTCGTTTTTGCGCCTTTGTGGGCCGCGTTGTGGTTTTGCTCTTCTGTTGTTCAGTGTATCCCAGCAATCTTCGACTGGATTCCAGAGCTGTTTGCCACATTAAATAATTCTTGAGACTTCGCAACCTGTGCTTAAACTGGCTCTCCGAATATCCAGTTCTATGATGACTTGAGGTCGGAAATCAGGGGGCACAAGAAGGATAAGCATCTCTCTCTCTCTCTCTCTCTCTCTCTCTCTCTCTCTCTCTCTCTCTCTCTCTCTCTCTCTCTCTCTCTGTGTGTGTGTGTG